TTCTTTGAGATGCAAAAAGGAATTAATGTTACGCTTTACATTTATTGTATTTAACCCTCCGTCTTCACATTGGGTCGTTCTCTACCTAAGCGATTTTTCATGTTCCAAAAAATGTTACAATAATTATTATTGTAATTGCAATGATTGCTGAAAACGTATAATTGTCGCACGACTTTGTTACTGACAGTACAACTTGTACTCTATTTACTTTGAAACTCATGTGTGTTGACACATTCTTTGAACAGGATTGCAGAGACTCTTTCAAAGTATTAAACGTGTGCACGATCAATGTCTTCAATCTTCAAGACACACTATCGAATGTTCCACTAAATGTCACCGGTATCTTTGATCGAGGACAATCAGTCGACCAGACAAAACATTTTTTACTTTAAGAAATCAATCGCACGTTATTGATTTACTATTTAAACTTATTATTAAAATTACAAATTATTTTAAACGACTGAGACACTTAATTACGAATACAATCAATGCCAGAAATAATTCGTATTACTAAATCCTACCTGAGATCTTGTTTGCTTCGTTACTGATCATCGTTTACTGTCCGGGATTCTATCACAGTGACTCACACGATGTATATGTTAGTTATATCAAAACTCATTCAAGTTTCTTCAAGTTCCTCACCAAGTTGCAATCATGCAGCGATATTGTATATTTAAGAGCGCGAATCTGTCGCGGTCACGAGCTCGACGCGAAACGACAACGTGCCTTTTTGAACGGCCGTGCTATGAAAATCGCTCAATAATCGCGGAGATCAGTCGTATTTTCATTTCCATCCATCTTTCTCCATGTCATTGCTTCCCGTGGTACGTTAACATGTGCGACGCGCACAAAAATTGCCTCCGTAGCTTGTACGGCATCGAACGAACTCGAGGCACCCACGCAATCCGGACGACTGTTTGAAAGCTAGGGTGTCCGTTGGGTGTATGGCTCGCAAGCTCCCCCATGCCATGCGTAGCTTGCGCCCTGAACTGTGTTTATACGAACTGTAGTAATAGTATTCTACCAATACTGATCGTAGTTGGTCGCTTCGGGCGCTCGTATGTTTCGAATACGTTTCAAAACTGCCTATGATTATTTGGACCGTAGCATACGACTTCTTATACAAAAGCTGATTGATTAGGAATGAATAGGTCAACGCTGACCTACGCTTTTCTAAACGTTAATCGAATATCTACTAACTTGTGAGTAAAAACTATATACTAAGTAAAAAGTATGAGAAATGATGTAAATAAAAAGATCAAATGCATTTAACACAAGACTTCTGTATATTTCAATCGAAATCATACAATCTTTTCTTAACAATAATTCATTTAAATCGCAGAACGAGTACGTTATAATATATTGCGTACAATATATTTAAGACTTACAGTGCAAAGCAGTCATTATTAGTTTGATAAAGATTTAGAATTCTTAAGTAAAAGGCAGGGAACCTTCCTCGTAGATTGTTCTTCATTTTTGTTATTGTTCCATATAAATGGCAGGAAAAAGGTATGAGAATTATGAAAGACGGAGAAATAATAAAAATGATGCAGGAATTTTTATCAGTTGGGAAAAAATGTATCAAAAATAAATGAAAAGTAGAAATACGATTAACAGACAGGTACGTTGATAACACTGCTTTCTTATAGTAGAGGAAGGTACAGTAGAATAATCAAATAATGTAACATGCGATAGAGCTTATTACACATTAATATCAATAGAAATAGAGATTTCACAATAATCGCCGCTTTCTAATCTATAACAATCACAAATTTTGTGATGATTGCAAACAATTTGTTCATTAGGTCAATTCAGACTTTGTTCACGTTCTTTCATTTCTTCATTCTTTTTGTCAATGAAACGACTCGACTTCAATTCCCTTCGCATTTCTAAAATTTTGTACAAACTTTCTTTAAAAAGACCAAATGCATTTAACACAAGACTTCTGTATATTTCAATCGAAATCATACAATCTTTTCTTAACAATAATTCATTTAAATCGCAGAACGAGTACGTTATAATATATTGCGTACAATATATTTAAGACTTACAGTGCAAAGCAGTCATTATTAGTTTGATAAAGATTTAGAATTCTTAAGTAAAAGGCAGGGAACCTTCCTCGTAGATTGTTCTTCATTTTTGTTATTGTTCCATATAAATGGCAGGAAAAAGGTATGAGAATTATGAAAGACGGAGAAATAATAAAAATGATGCAGGAATTTTTATCAGTTGGGAAAAAATGTATCAAAAATAAATGAAAAGTAGAAATACGATTAACAGACAGGTACGTTGATAACACTGCTTTCTTATAGTAGAGGAAGGTACAGTAGAATAATCAAATAATGTAACATGCGATAGAGCTTATTACACATTAATATCAATAGAAATAGAGATTTCACAATAATCGCCGCTTTCTAATCTATAACAATCACAAATTTTGTGATGATTGCAAACAATTTGTTCATTAGGTCAATTCAGACTTTGTTCACGTTCTTTCATTTCTTCATTCTTTTTGTCAATGAAACGACTCGACTTCAATTCCCTTCGCATTTCTAAAATTTTGTACAAACTTTCTAATTATATCGACGTCTTCTCCCGCGACCGATGATTTTCTAAATACATTTAACTGAATGATCATTCGCCAGACTCTAATCGACTAACGAGTCGGCACTAAACCGATCTGATGTGACAGGTATGGAAGTGCTTGCATTAGGCGATCATTCGAACAATAATTAAAATCTCTCATAATTTGATCAATCACGATGTTACCTATTTATAATTTATTAATCGGTGTTTCATGACCTAGATACGATCGAAATAGCTCTCTTTTATTTCTTGTTTTAACATATAATATTCATAATTTTTTACGATTCGTAAGATTCCACTTTGTATTATGCTAGCAACTAATGGTTGTACTGAATTCTCTTCGAGAAAATACCAAGTTTTTCTACTTTTTCTGCTTACTTTCTCCCTCATCGATTCAATTTCATGAACTCATCGTGCCGCGAGTCAAGCGTCTTGGAACAAACAGTTCGAACAACGCGAAAGACTCAAAAGAGCGTTCGTATTGTTTGATGTTGCTAATTTCAAAGATTCGTGCATGACCCATCGATCGACCAATCGCATTAAATGGAAATTGATTAGCAAGCATTGAGCGGGGAATGGGTGCCAAAACGCAAGTTCCGTTGAAATTCGCATCTGGAGACGAATTTTTAAATCCAATTTGCTTTCGACTAAGGGATTCACAACCATTCTAGATGTACAGACGTGCGATGTAGTTTCTATACACTTCGAAACATGACAGCTAACACACAATTGTGAGTACGTGTTCCTAGTTCATCTGCCGAAACAAATAGTATTATTTGTTATTTCGAGAATCATGTTACCCGAATTTGAACGGACATTTATTACAAATACAGACATCACGTATCTTAGAATGAATGCAACGTCAAGATTACCACTTAAGTATTTCTTTTCTTACGTTTAAAGTTATCACGTTGTAAGAATACTTATGTTGTATCGCATATGCAGATAGTTCACTCGATTCCGGACTCACTTCGCATATACACAAAGAAAGGTGACATATTCACGTAGATCGAAATAACGACGACGTATGGAACGCATTAAAGATACTTACTCTCTCTAAGTGCCATATTTTCTATGTATGCACGTGACGTGGATCCGGAATCCAATGATTCTGTACCTCTTAACCCCGCTCCGAATACTGATACATGATTGAGCAAAGCTCTCTACTTGATTAACTAACCGACTTCACTTTCTCCACAAATTTCGCGAATCATTCAGCAGAATTTATTGCACTTCTATGTAAGAGTCTCGAAAGATTATTTTTTACATCGTTCTTCGGTTGCACGGTGCAAAGACATTGTAAAAAATCAGTTTGAATTAACTCGGTTTAGCAAATACGATTCTGTTAGCGCTCGTATTACACCTTTTATCACGAAATAATTATTAAAATGGAATTATTCATTCGGACACAATATCGATTTTAATTTCTTACAATAAACCGAGTAATATGCAAGCGTATAATAATCCGTAGGTGAAATTTAAAATAGTTAACATTTAATGCAGTCATTATAATAGATATACTTCAATAAAAGCACTTGACAAAAATACAGCAATGGATCGGATTAAAGTAGAAAGTAGTAAAGGTCGAAACAAGTCAGACGCTTTGAAATACGAGTGTTTGCCTTCGTCACCGGAATTTTTCTAAAGCTGTGATTGCTTTCGATTGATCGCTTATATTTAGAATGTAATGTTATGTATATATATAGATGGAGAATTATTCAGCAGTTTATTCAGCGTCACTTTTGTGCTGAGGGGTGAGATCTTAGTAGCAGTCAATATTCTTCTTCCTCTTCCTCGAACTCATTCCCTCCCAGCATGCTAGACGACTGCAACATGAAACGTGTGATAGAGAATTCAACGGCGTTCTCTCATTATAGTTCAGCTTAATTTCAAATATCAAAGTTCAAGGTATTTTCTTCTAGCCATACTGGGCACTACATACATACACGTTACTTACTTTTCCTTCCTGGTGTATTTGTCGATCAAATTATGGCCTGGTCCATCACAACTCTTGCCCATTGGTGGACAATATCAATAATATAACACGCTAAGCGACACGTCGAACAGAAGGGTACTACCACTGGGGTCTAGCACTGGGTGCCCTAAGTTTTCGACCGGAGAGTACCTGGAATTATTTTAACGAATTATTATTCTACAATAATTATTATTATAGACTATTTCCGAATATATGATTTGTATCATTTCTTTCCACATTTCATTAACATTACACAAGAGCATTACAACTTTTAAATAAAAAGATATTTGAAGCATAAAAAATCGATCGTAGTAACGTTTGTGATAATATCCTGCATGGTTTGAAAAAGTATCACATGCCAAGATCTAAGTCTATTAGACATTGTAATAGAATCATATTTCGCATTAACTTCAGTGCAGGTGCATACATAACTATATGTATATCGATCATGGCACATTTCGTGCTCCCGTTCGCGTAATTGTCACGAATGCTACCGGACGGTTGACTATACCTTGCAAGGACGGTGTCTGAGTATATCCTGCTGTAGTAGCTAAGGAATATTTTCTCCATATTCGAATATCTGTATTTCCCAGCGAAGTCGGAACAGTTCACTCTGGTTGAATAACCGCAGCCTTCCGTATTCACGAAAAATTTGATGTCTGGGACGTCCCAGGGTATAGAACCCAGCGGTTTCGCCATAAATTCTTCAAACCTCGTGTAGGCTGATTTAATCGCGATGCTGATACAATCTATAATACAAAAAACTAAAACAGTCTGTTTAAATGATTGTATTTAAAATTAAAGAGAATTGAGAACTTACTTTCCTTACCGCTAGCCCAAGAACAGTTTTTTAACCCCTCGACGTAAATGTGATTAGTGACGACACAAGCCACCGTGAATCATCAGCCAAGATTGCAGAAATGGCTGATAGAAGAGATTAAAACGAAGTATGCGAATACAGCGAACATGGCTGTAGTAGAACTAGGCAGAAGGACGTATATAATTTCGATTTCTCTATCAGAATCAGAGTAGGGACCTCCATAGTCCATCCATGCTGGACTCAGTGTCTTGTTTCTAGACGTTCATGCTCATAGTCAACTCGTCGGAATCAATTATTGTTCCTTTATCTAGGTCTCTAGGATCGTATTCATTCGATTAATAAAACTTTCTTCACCCTCAAAGACGAGATTGATTCTTTATGAAATCTTCAATCCTTGCAAAATACTTTTTGTGAATTCGGTATAAAAAATATTTTAAACATTTGCGTCTGACTCTTTTATTTTAATTTTATTCTCGAGTAAAGTAGTTGAAGTTCACGTATGAATGAGAGTTAACCAGTTCTTGTCAATGTATACCGACGGTGAGCCTAGATTGTTCAGTTTAATGTCTTCCGATGAATTATGCGATGAGCATAATATTTATATATTTTCGGGAGATGCTCGAAGCGACGAGTTTATCAAAAGATCTGTGTGCAAACTTGATGCTAACGGTGCGGAGATCATCTTGCATCAAACATTTACTAGCAAGATACGTCCTTCGATTTTTCGATGCGGTCAGTTGATGGTGTAGGTGTGATTATAATAAGTGTTGGCTAGCTTCAATACGCGGATCTATATATGTTACATACGGTTCTTATCTACTGTCACGGCGAATCAATCAGAAAAGGGGGACATTAAAAGCTACCGACGAATGGTCTGTCACGTGTAAAAGACGCCGATCTGTGGTTCCGTTTGTTTTCATTTCTCGCTAACGTTTACCGTCTTGATATCCAAAAGATGAATGCTAGAATCCAAATTCAGTTCGTGATCTGTACTTCTTCCTCGTCAGCAGGAGAGAGACAGATGAGAGCTTCGTTGCGCATCCGATCGTATGAACTTCTTGAAGCAACTCATTCGTGCGCGTGTATGCAGCGACGCGATTTTTTTTTTCTTTCTTTTTTTTAGAAAGAGCACATGCGGCTCTCGATATAGTGTTTCTTGTGTGCAGGCAGTGTAAGTAGGAGAAGTCTTGTTGCTTTCTCGTTTAGTACTTGTCTCCGATCGTTAGCTTTCTCTCTCTATTTTTTTTTTACTTAATCGCTTTTCGAGGACAGTTTGCGTTTATTGCAGAAATATTTGTGTTTTGTTTTGTAGTATTTTTTTGCAAAATGAGAATTTTAACCACGCGTTCCCCCCCTCCCCACACCTTAATAATGCCCGCGCAGGGAGAATATCGACTGACGAGCCGGACTCTATTCCAGGAGGGGAATGCCTATGAACAGAAAGATTAAGATGAATAATCATGTAAAATTTCAAGATCGTTGTAAAAATGTATTGTAATGTATATATTGTGAATGAACGTGGATGGCCCAAGTTTATATTATTCTAATTATTAACCCTTCGCGCTATAATTACTCTTTTCTGCCAGAGATTATTTCATATTGCAAAGAGTTAAGACTTGATAATGGTAAGAATCACATGGATTATTAAAATATCCACGAAAGATTCCAATATTTGTAAAAAACAATTTGAATTATATAAAGCATTGCAATCTTTGTCTCGTTGCTGTTTTAAATCTTACGTGACGGATCTCAGAGCGCCATAGCAGAATTTCCTCCGCCAGCATCCCCTAGAGTACCCGAAGTGCTCCTCTCCAGTCGTGCACCAGCCGAGCTTTTGAATCGCATTTTGGCATCGTCGCCAACAACAACGGAGAGTTGACAAAAGATCAACGTCAGACAGCTGACGACAAACAGGATGCTAGGTAACAGTAACGCAACCAGAAACTCCTTGTACGTATTCTCCAAGTTGAAACGAGACACGACTACACGAGGGTTAGCTTCAGCATAAAAGCAGGGAAATCTAGCTCGCGCGTTGTGATCGGATCCATCTTTTCCGTACGTGTGAAGAAACTCTTTACATTCGTCACGAAGAGTATTCACACAGCCCTCTAAATTGATCAACAACCGGCTTTCGTTTGCAATGATCAAATCCTGCTCAGGTGGTGCAACTATTTTGGTTTCGTCCAGCGGTTTCGTTGCGTATACGTTGAGATAAGACAAGTAAGTAAAATTAGTCAAATCGGTGAGAAGTTCCTTTTCTAAAACGGAGCCGTTGATACAGTCTACAGCCTCGACACCCGAAGTAGAATTAAATATTCCATAACAAGACGCCATCATAACATCGCCTCGATCTTCGTTCCAAACTTCTCGATTGGTTTCAACGTCTATAGCTCTCTCGCATCGACTCAAATAGACTTTGTCACCGCTGAGCAGGATCATGTTCTTATTTCTGGTCGGGATATCCACGCACCGGCGATCACAATTATACGGCGTTCGGATACGTTCACAAGTCCCACGAACGCAATTGAACAAACCGTCTATGTCTATGCAAGTTATCTTGCCGCGTCTACCGGAACACTTCAACGGTGGGTCAGTGTCGTGAAATACGCACTCGAACGCGTCAGTTATGTTGATACATACGCCGGATGAGCAGTTGAACGTACCCGTCAAGTTTCGACACTCATCCGCGATACATTTCGATTTCTTTGCGTTCTCTTGATCGATACCGTAACAAGTCTTGTTCGTAGTGTTGGTACAATTCGCTAGCAGTATTCTCGATCCGTTTCTACGGAGGTTGACGTGGATTTGAACACAGGAACCAGATGTTTTTGAGAGACACCATTCTCCACAACTGCCCCAATCACAGTTGTCAGCGTTTACCGCACGTATCGTTGTGCACATCGCTGGAATTTCACTAATGCCCGATTTGAAAGCTCTTGTGCTTGGCATGTATATTGCTACTGTGAGATAAACTAGAGCCACTGCTGAAAAGACGACCGTCATTTGGCAGATGCAAATGGTCCCGCAAATACGCATATCTTGCGGCGGGACCACCAAATCCTCCACTGCTACTTTTTTCGGCATCGTGCCGAGCCAAATTCGTTTCGAACACCAAAAGAATTCTGTCGTCAAGGAACAATGAATCACTCAGTTAATTTTACATTCCAAGTCCATCATCACGATTACTTGCATCCGCTTCACTTTCTACATCATAGATACTGCATTCTGCGATGCACTGTACTATATTCTTCCAATCCCAACTATGCGATTAAACTTATTAATATCAACAGTTATTATATCCGTAAGCTGTACGTACCAGCAACAATAAGTTTCATGTAAACGACTTGTTTGTACATTTAAAAGTTCTCCTCCTATCTCTTATTCACGCTCCAGCTGGGTGGATCGATCTGTCAACTTTCTCGAAAATTTCATGACAGATCTTTCTATTGATCTGACACCGCGAAACTTTGTAATAGATATATCTCTTCACCTCGGACGATGAAATTTGAAGAATCTAGTTGAGTTGAGTTGAGTCAAATTAATCTTCGCATTGCTACGATCAAATTCACATCCAAGTTTTCTCACGGTTCCTAGATCCGGCGTTCTCGTTGCAACAGGGTAAAGCTGGTCACACGCCTGTTCTGCTTTCAGTCACTTTGCGCCTCATGTGAGGTGCGCAGCGATGAAAGCTCAAACGGCGGCGCGCATCGATCGATTGTCTGTACATGCGCAACACTGAACCGCAATGACGAGGTGCCGCACGACACCGCCGTACTGTGTTTGACGTCACAGGTCTATTTGTCGTCATGGATACACTGTGGTACCATCAGGATCTGTGTTGCAGGACGATCGTTCAGAGATGGCGGAATTCCGCGTATCCACGAATTAAAATTCGAGTCGAATCGTTTCAAGATCCTTAGAAAAAATACTTTACAAATTTTACACGCGTTTTGAAACAATAGTATTTCCAAACTCTTAATAAAACTCTTGCACATTTTCTCTTTTTACTTTCCACGTGTTCTGAATAACAATTTCCTTTGGTAAAATGCAAAGTGAGGCATGGTTTTTGAATTATTAACGAAAGACACTGACCAATGAGAGCACGTGTAGGGTTCGCGGCCAGCCACGGATAGGTTGGCTCGGATCGTGACGCTCGGCCTTGGCTTAGCGGCAAAGGAAAAACTGTTGTTCAGAAACACATGTAGTATCACCTCTCTTCGGCTGTAATACATTTTTTGGGACATCTTGTATAATTTTGGAATTTTATGTAATCACGCGTTAAAGTTGACGTTCTAAATGAAAACGTTTTTTAGATTTTCACGAGAATTTGTAGCGAAAGAGCTACGCTTTTCGAAGGCATACAGTTGACCAGCGTTAACGTTAATAGAAGAAGGCACGTAGAACATTATTATTTTGAAAATATAGACTGTTGGTTGTCATGGTATGTACTTGTATTTTACATGCGTTGCAAGAGAATGTCGTACGTATTACAAGATTCATTTTTTACACTTTTTATGATATAAATTATAATTCTGCAAAAAGCGTTGATATCGTTTAAAATCATTGATATGAAACAATAACATTCTAACATAAAAAATATAAAATATACACGTATATTTATAGTAACTATTTCTTGTGTGATATATGCTTCATATTTATATGGTAATTAACACACTTGTCTTTAATGTATATGTTGTATTTACATTAATATCGTGAGCAGGGTTTATGCTAGCAAAGATACGGTCATCATTCGTTTGCGATGGTGTTGTACACGTGACGATGCACTTTAAAAATTAGGTTTACTTTCCCTTTCACATTCAATATTAACAAAGCAAATATACTAAAAAGATCATTACGACTAGGACATCAAATTCGTTAAAGATTGTTGCAATTCATCGCAACAGAATGATACCATAGTTTCTAAAGGCAGTTGTAGCGCTTGAGACGAAACGTTATGATAACAATATTATTTAATGTTTAGTCACACGCACGCACATAGATATACACACATACGTGTGCGCACACTCGTTTACACTATACATTTCGCTTTACGACACTAAGTGTGTGACATACATGTGTACATTCGTTGATGGTCGAAACCCGAAATCAACCGAACTTATATCGGATTTTGTGTAACACTCGAAAACTAGGAACCTAACGTATAACGCATAACTTCTACAGGAAAAATATTTCCTTCTAATCCTTGTACATCAAAAGCATCACAGACATTTTACGTTCACATTGTGAATTATATATATATCACGTTTACATGAATTTCTTACAACCAGTTAATTGTCCTAATTGGTACTGCATTTGTATTTTGTCGTTTTATTTTTTTTTTATAATATACATGTTTATACAATCACAAAAGTACTTATCGCCTGAACAGTAATTTTTTAATATTTATCCAATTTTGTTTATTTAATTATAAATAATGAAGTATTTGGAATAATGTTAGATAATGTTAAATTTGAAGGCATTTCAATGTCTTTTTATGGGTGAAAATGTTTAGGAAACCGGGTAATCGCACGGTGTATTATATGTACAATTATACATATGTATGTAGTCAATACCTACGGAAATTTACATCATGATACATGTGGTTAGTTTGATTAGTTCAAGGCATCGGTGATAAAAATGCAAAAAATACGAATTCGAGTGTATAAAACCTTTTGATTAAATAATCAATTTATTATTTTAAATTACTTTGGCCCCAGACGAGGGTAACTTGTAAAACATTTCTGCTTTTATCGTGTCTCCACTTCCTTTCAACAGGGAAGACGATCTAATTGTAAGACTTCGTTTCACGTTACATTCCACGAGTAGAAATGTATCGTTTGTCGAAAACATTTGTGCTGCAATAAGCATTTTGTTCCGTCCCTCTGCTCCCATCAGAATCTTATATTTTTACGAGGACCGAACAATATTAAAAACAATAAAATATTCAGTTCGAATCTATTTATTGTGCGCTCTTGCGGAAAGTGCACGAAGAGAACACATGTTACGATTCGTCATCGCGTTTGCCAATTCTCAATCCCATTAGATTAATTTGTTTATTTGTTAACGCATAATAAAATCTCATAGGTAAAAACAATTATGATCACCAGAAAAAATCAGTCTTCTTATTTTGTTTTGCGTTTTTTTTTAATTAAATTACTCGCACCATTCTTTATTCGATCCAGGGATTGAATTATGATATCGATCCAACTATTCCGGTTAGAACCATAACAGCGTATATCTCAATAGTATTCCGTTTTCTGTTACTTCGATGCAAGTATAGTAAAACTAATTGAGTCAGAAAGTATTCATTCATTTTCATAAACGGTGCAGTACAGCTGAAGCGTTTGCACGATTAAGTACATTTTATATTCGAACATCAGTTTGTCACATATTTGACGATAACAATCAATTGTACATAAGTTCATACACAAAGCACACAGATCTCATTGTCCCACAAACAGTACAGGACATCTATTTTCTAACATCTTTCAATCGCCATGTAACAGGAAAATAGTATATACATAATAATAATGTTCTTTCTGATTTTCACAATTGATCTCTCACCGCGGAAAACGCGGAACGTTAGTAATCAAAGCTACATCGATCAAATGCATAAAAATTTTAATATAGATGGTTAATATACCCGTTCAGAATGAATCTTCGGCTTCGTCGGTGTCCATGAAAGGTAGCCTCTCGTAACGTAGCGCGTTGCTCGTTCCGAGTGGCTTAAACTGCTAAAGCGCCATGCTCTTGATTTCGTTTTCGCTCATCTGATTCTGGGACGACGAGGGTGTAGCCTCGACGAGCACTTCGCCTTCGCTCTCGGCCTCCTGCTTGTCGGTACAGTAACGGCAACGCATCCTCGCGTCGTCGCCGACCTGCACCGATCGCGATATGATCACGAGCGTTATCAAGCTGATGACGAACAGACTCGATGGCACGATGATCGCGATCAGCAGTTCCGTCCGTGTCTTGTTCAGGTCGAATCGTGCCACGACGAAGAACGAATTATTCTGAAACACGTAGACGAGAATGTTAGAAGATGCACGGGAGACATCGTCCTGTCAGATCTATTCCGTTCAATGTCGATTCGTTCCAAGCTCGTAGGAATTGAAACATACCCACAGTATGAGCAGTCTAATTGAATCAGAAAATAAAAAGCATGGTGTGCCGTTTTGCTAGTGAAGTTACTCTATACGAAAATAGTGTTTGAAGCAACAAGTTTTTAAACGCAGTGTAAAATATAAAATTAGTTATATTTATTTAGATATAAATATTTGTATAAATTATCTTATCCTGCCAAAATTCATATAAGTCAAAAAAGGAGCCAAACAGAATTTTTAATTGAAAAGATAACGTATTCTAGAAAATGGCGTACCTTATGATAATAACAGGGATATCTACTCTGCGCCGTCTGATTGTCGCCGTCCCGACCGTGAGTCGCGACGAATTCTTTACACTCTCCCTTCAAGGTATTGACGCAACCTTCAAGATTGATGTAAAGACGAGAACTATTGTAGATCGTGAGCGATCGTTGCGCTGGCACGTAGGCGTTCGTCGGATCAATCGGATACTGCAAGCTCTTCTCATATATTTTCAGAAAGCTTGTAAAGTTTATGGACGGTTCAGGCACCGGAATATCCTTTAACAAAGTACCGTTTACGCAATCCTGCGTTCTGCAAAAGGAAGACCAAAACGTGATTTACTAAACGTCCTGTCGAATATTTCTTTAAATATTTTCTCTTTAATATTGTCATTTGAGATTGCACGAAATACCATTATGGTTTATTAAACCAGCGTGCGTAATACCAGACATTTATTCTTCGCAAAAACAGTTTTCTTCCCTGACAATGTAACTAAGAATCATAAATCGATGAAACATCCTTCTTAATCTCTTTACATTATTTCTTTAAAATAAGTGTTAACAAAGGAAGACTCATGCTATTTCCCTCCCATAAAATCTTCTTTCGTAAACACATTTCGAGAGAAATCTCACTATCCCTGTTCATGTAACTTTCAAGAAAACGTGTCTTTCATCCCTATTCCCTATATGAGAACCTTTTACAGCTATTACTCCACGTTTCCACTCACTGACTTTTTCACCCATCCGTGACCTCAATGGAGAGCACATTCGTTTCTTCATTTCTGTCGTCGTGGACATAAAAAAAACATCGAAATAAAGAAAGCAAGCGGAAAACTTGCGAGTCAGAAAAAATCACATGTAGGGATGAATCGCCCAGCTGTGCTACAGAATCAATGGTTGCCATGGAAATACCCTTATCAGTGTCTTATAGACGCTGCCAAGAAGAATATGTGAAAGCATGACGTGTCCGCAACAGGAAATAATTCATACGAAACCGGAAGAGCTCAATGGATTCCATTAAACTGACAAATTTCCCCCAAGAAGTTTCCCAGAACATATTTGAAAATAAATTCCTTGTTATTGAGTAAGATAAATTGGATCGAAAATTTCATAGATCAATACGAAATCCTTTGCCAAAGCGAGCTTCAGTTTCTAGCGATGCGTATTGGTGTACGAAAGCGATGCGAACAGAATCCTAGTAGTATGAATTATACTACTATTTACAATTCTGTGTTTTGCGGTTGAAAGGTTTCGAGAATACGAGGTTCATTCTTAAATCGATAATACTAAACATTTTGCCAAAAACGGAAATACATATGTACGATTATTGTGAATGAGCTTGTACGATTCACGAGAGATGACAGCCGGCTTATCTGATAATTTTGTATTTTTGTGCTTTAAGACAGGGATGCCGAGCTTTTGGCTCACTTTCCCGATTCTCTTACTATGTTGGATGACCCTCACTACAGTGTCTCAATGCCAGAAGATAAGCCTACTCTCCCTACTCCATCCTTCCTTTTCTCGAGCCTTCTTACTTCTACTCTACAATACTATCTACGAAACGGTTCAGAGACAAAACATACTTTTAAGTAGCGTTATCTTGGCACACCTGGTGTTTAATGGGCGGAAACAGCTGGGTCTAAAGTGAGAATTAAAAGTTACAGAGGGGAAAAAGCTCCCCCCTCGTGTTCCAGAATGAAGGAAGTCGTTTCGTTTAGCTACTGTAGCTTTATGAAAGCATTGACCCTGTCGTCATGACCAACTGCTTTGGTCATGACTGTTTAATTATAACTTTGAATTGTTCTTGGTCGATACATCGAGGCTAGTCAACATGTTACAATACATATGCATGTGTTGACAATAGATATGGACGTGCTATATGCTCTTGACACTTTAATCATATCGATAGACAGGTCTCAAGTCCACTTGCATTTACCTTATACGACCCGCGCACCGGATTTGCATTGATCATCTTAGTTGTCGACGATAATCTGACGTCATTAGGGGGTATCGACTGAGCAAAGCTATATTCAGGAATTCGAACTTTTGCGTCGCCTTTACAATAATTTATACGCGTATTGTTTGTGTAATTGCGTTCCTTTTATTCTTGTATTTTCAGTCTCATGCCATTATTCTAATTACACGTAGAGCAATTCATAGAGTGGATAGAAGAGACTTACAATAATATTTCATGGAAGCCTTTAATAATTAATTTTGTTAGATTCTATCTATTAGAAATACACATGTATATTATTTATTATTTTTTAGAACGGTGAAAAAATACCAGTTAAATTTTCCTTTACAATGTCAATTTACTTTCTTTCTATATGCATCTCATCATTATAAAGAAACTTTACAAATGCAAATTATGAATGTGTTAAGGAAAGTCCTTAATCCATTAATTAAATATTATGTTTCGCCACATTTTATCTGACAAGTTAATAGATAATGACCGTCAATTAGTAATTACATACCTTATAACGTCGTTTTGTCTGTCGACTACTAAACAGCTGGCAACGATTGTCTTGTTCTGCTCATCCCAAACTTTAACAGGCGTGCTCAATCGATCGCCGGGCAAATTTCCATTAGCCTTGTTCAACGCAAAACCATTTTTGCATTTCGCGGCGATTATGTCGTCGTTTTGCATGAGAAACACGTTAACGTCGCGCGTGGTGATCCTGGGACAGTAACGATCGCAACTGAACGGACTCTTGATTTTCGTGCATTTCGTAGAGTTATGACAACTGAAGAAGCCATTCAGTTTCATGTTGTCCTTCTCCGTGTCCACCACGACCCCGTCGGCTTTGTAATGACATAGCATCAGCTCGCTTATATTGGTACAGTGGCCAAGGCTGCAGTTGAACACGCCCCAAAGTGCGCTGCACTCGCTACCATTGTTGCAATTGTATTTTCTCAGAGATTTCACATTTACCTAGGAGTACAAATTGAACAGTGATTTTTAGAATACATATTGGTTGCAAATCTTTATGAGATATAATAGTGGAGAACTTTTTGTCACTGATTAGTAAATTGCGGATAAAACTTTCGTCATATCAATTTAAAAAATGAACTCTGAATTGAGATTTCTCTTAGCCTTAGAAAATAATGGTACACACTTGTGGGTGCATATAATACATATTTTTGTATTATCGTATGTATAATACATATTCATTATATTTTCTACACATCGAGTTGTTTCTGTAAGTGAATAAAATCTGCAATCTATTGATCAGCCTGTTAATTTAAAAAACAGGAAACTTTGAAAGATGATTGGACGTTCAATCAGAAAGTATAAAAGTCACGCAACGCATTTGTTATTAGTTTGGAGGAAGGTCCCACGGGAGTCGTTTATTATCTTTCATCTGGGGTTAGTTCCCCTAGATAGAAATTTTGTGCGATTGACGCCTGTTCCCAGAATCAATTTCATTACTTTTTGTCATGATCGAGACGAGTTTCCGTGAGTAGATGATAAAAATTTCGTGACTTGGGAAAATATAATAGAATTTACACCAATACAAGGAAATTAACATATAATAAGACGAACAAGTATTTAATATATTTACTCTTTCTTAAAATAGGTTTGACGTACAACACACGTGACTCCTATACGGTATTTTTTACACGATTTTAAAGTTACGCGGATTTATTAAGATTTATTCGGAGTTGCACACTATTTTTAAAACGATTTATTCAATTACACAAAATTAGTTAGATGTACGAACACTAAATGTTAGTTTCTGTTTGTTAAACTTCTCTTTCTGTTCGTATATATATTATATTTATAAATGTGATCAATGTTGTTCATCAATCTATTGAGTTAAAAAATTATTTCGCAACAAAGCCGCAGCAAATCTGGGCGAGATGGTTTGATTCTGAATCACAAAGAAGCTAAAGGCAATCGATAAAAGGTGTGGCAGCCGAGTAGGGTGACAAGCCATTAGAAAGTAATTGAAGACGACGATCCCAATTAGAAGAGTAGTTAGGTAGTAGATAATAAGGTTAACGATCCTCAGGATATGATAATTAAATTAGCATAACTCAGCATCTTGCATTGCTCGTATTTTTCGTCTGCATTCGTTTTTTTTAAAAATCTCCTTGTTCTTAAAAGCCTCATCGAAGCTAGCGATAAGAACACGCGTAACACATACGCAATTCTGAAATAGCTAATCGTGTTTCGACTCTGTATAATAATTAAATTCGCCTGTATTTCTTATCCGCATGTTTTCTCCGCTGCTCCGAGATGACCTTCTGGGAAAACAGTTCTCGAACAAGCTATATGAGTTACATCCACCCACGTACAATAATTCTTTTATCAGCTCTGGCATTCGCCTATATCAGCGGAAGTACTGACCATAAAATGACTGTGTTAAAACTTAAACGCTCGACCCTTTTGCAGCAGATCCTTTCGTCGGCGTAACTGAATTTTTCTCGGCTAACTCCGTTAGTGCAATATTCTTTGTGTTACTTGTAGCTGGGTTAATTAAAATCGCTTTTCAAGGGAAAACTCAGTCGTACTTTTTATTTTGTCCAGGAAATGCGAAAATTCTGATGAACAATGCTTTAGAACTTATCAACAAAATATCGAAAAATATCGAAATATATTCTAAAAGGCGTAAAAAATTCCAAACTTAATCTGCCCGTCGATTCGTCGAACTTATTTCTCCGCGCGATCACGAAGGGAAGCATAGTTTTAAAGCTATTCAGATCAATTATTTCATACCATAGGATTTGAACGATATACGAACTTTTACTGGAAGAACCGTTTACTCGCTCTGGGACATTATACCTATAGTAGAAGTATGGGAAAGTATTATACATATGCCCATCGTCGGCTGTAATAGGAAACCGAACTCGATTTGAAAAATTCAGTAAACATTTGACTACGCCTATATCGGATGATTTATACTACCTGCATTTCAAATGTTAGAAGGAGTAGAGCATATTTCAGCAATTTAATTTTATGTATACATAGTTTGTGAATATGAAATGTCATGTACAAATTTTTCATTCGCACTCCATTAGTTTCATAAGATTTACTATGTAACTGCAAAAGTCGCGCTAGAAACAATCGTATTCCATAAGAATACGAAGATAAATTAAATAACTCAGTGAAGAAACAATTGTTGATAAAAAGAATACACATACAATCTTTATTTGTATGAGAAATTTTCGACTAGAAATATTTCCCGGCGGTACGCACGCACAGTGAGCGTGCAAGCATATCGTAAAATGTGTCTGACTATATACGATCTCGTTCCACTTGCGATCTATTCCGAACAGCGTTATGTAACAACCTTTGAATTTATTCAACGTATCTTGCTAAAACATCTACCAATTTTCTCTTTCGCATAAAATAGAAGTTGTCTTTATACAAATAATGTCATATAAATTTATATCAAAAGTATTTTCGCGCGTAAATGTAAAAATTCAAAATAAATAATGATATCACATATTTACTGTGTTCCACCACGTATTTGTTGGGAAAACAACAAATCAATCCATACGCTTCAAATAAAATTTACGACGTACCTGTGGACAAGATATACTGCCAAATTTCGTGCAGTTCTCGAAAACGATGTCGGTCCCATTTCTTCTGACAGTTGCGTGAATCTGAGGACAAAATCCGCTTGTTTTCGTCAAGCACCATTCCCCGCAACTCGCCCAACCACAATTATTAGTTGAGGTGGTATCAACGGTTTGGCACATGACTGGATCCGGATCGATTCCCGCGTGAAAGGCTCTGGGAATTAAATCCATCGGTTTCATTAATATTTTTCTGACAAGGGTGCGAAAGTTGTACGACGTGATATGATTTTCCGTTCTAAGGCAATCCAATGAATTTTGTTAACATTATATTGATATCGGCCACGACCAATGTACCTCCCCTATCGAGGGAGCAAACGGTATTTACTTGAAAAATGAACGACATATAGAAATGCGTATAAACAGTAACATCAGAAAATGGCACATCTGAACTATGAAAATACGTTTGTAATGCAAAAATTGAACTGCAACTCTTATTTATTGCCTCGAGGATTCTACAAGTTTTCATGCTCATAGAGTTCTTCGTACTGTAAAATCTAAGCAGAACGATCTATGATTACATTCATTATCCTACTATCAGATAACAATCTTACAAATTGCATCGACCTTCGCCAAACTGCATACATGCGATGAAGCTACTGTATTATCGAGAAAAGTATAAGTGACCTTTTACATTTGTTAGTGTAATGTTGTTAATAGTAAAAACAAACGGAAGGCTGTTTGAAAATGAAGTCATAGATGCAAGAGACAGATCTCGGACGAAATTAAGGCCAAATGAGAGATAATTTAATTATTATCGGCCTTGGTCAATTAATCGATGCAACCTTGTCGTTTACCTGTGGGACGGCATGTAGATCGCCACGCTCAGATAGACCAACGCCACGCAGCTGATGACAAAAGTGAATTGACAGAGGCAAATGATGCCACATATTCGCCAATTCTGTTCCGGTATCAGGCGACGCTTGTGCTTCCGTTCCATCGCGAGTAGCAACTAACCGGCTGACCCTGATTTTTCCTTTGATACTCTACTTCAACAATAATTTCTGTATGGATTGATCTAACATTAAGTGCCTTCTCATAGACCGCTTGAAATCTAATGATTTCTCGGCTCACTTAGCTCAAATCGTTTCTCCAGAAATGGTAACTTTATTTGTCATCAGGGAGAATATTTTGATTAGAGTTTATCGCGATTTTACATGCGGTAGTTTTCTGTAAAAGAAACACGTTCAGTTAACGCAGTTTCGATGGAAACATGTGTTTAGACAAATAAAATACATCGATCAGTCGAGTAAAGTGGCAAGTTAGGTCATTTATTTAATGTATTATTGCATCTATGATAATTTTGTAGAGAGATTCTTTAAAGTAGTAAGCAAAAAAGATCGTACGTTCTCTTTTAAGTGGAACAAAATGAATAATTGATTACACGTAAACAAAATAGATAATAAACGAGGATGAATCCTTTAAGGATGCAGTTTAATTTATGTTTCTCGGTATCCACGTTTTTCAAGGAGCTCGCCTTCGGTGTTGAATTTTGCAAGCCCAAGCATGTTACACAACAGGTGTCTCGGGCGCTTATCGGACAAGTACAAACATTCTTCTTGAGGATACGAGTTACATTTCATCGATTCCCGCCGTATTACAAAAACTACCAAAATGGAAAATATATCTTGGGAGCCATTTACTGACTAAAAAATATTCCATTCACAAATTAATGGATTTGCTGAAGGAATTTGCCAAGGAATTTCCTTAGTATAAAAAAAGTTGCCCTCAATTACACTATAGTACTTGGTGACGAAATGTATAGAACATCGATCTTTCGATTATGTAAGTTGATTGACTTTGTGTAATCCAGAAAGAATGACACGCAATCAAAAGTAGAATGTTCGAGGTCTTGTGCCCTTACGTGGTTCTGTCTACAAATTGAAAACCTATATGGTTACAAACGTGAACACAGCAGAGTGCCTTAAAAAGTGAAAGTTCGAGTTACCTCGAACTACTCTCCTAACCCGACACAAACGCGAAAAACTTTATCGATTGGGTTACTTCGTTGGAAGCTCTCTTCTGGGCATCCAACCTTACACACCCGCCCTCGTTAAGGAATCGTATCGCGATGACCTGGCTGCTTTTCATACAATCAACTTTTGACTTGACATTCTCGCGAATCCTCGTAGTTCGAGAAATCTTGGAAATTATCGATTCATCTTCCAAGGATAGCAATGACGAGATCCACCAAGTAGTAAATGTCACGAGTAATATTCACGGCTACGTGGAATATAAAAGTCGCGAGGAATGTCTGCTTCGGGGCGTTAATGGCAAGGCATTAGGACGGTCAATCGATTTTGATTTTAAGCGGTTTAAATATTTATAGAACGATCATAGCCGATTATATCGATCAGAGTATCCGTCTTCGGAAGTGACGGTTTTAATCGGCTTTTTTAATCACCTTTCCGCATTTTCCTTATCGTCTTTTTTCTAGCTCGTACTATTCACTAGTCAAGTTAGATACACTTGAGGCAATTACCGAGTTTTAACTTCATTAAGCGTAGCGCCAGTGTAAACAGGTGCACTCCGCCGGATGACGTGCAATTAGATACTCGTAATCCCATTACCGCGTAAGGGACGATCGCTTAACTGCCGTTCGAGAATAATGCCAATCGATTCGGGTGGAAACTTTCATACTGTAGTAAACGTTCATACGGTTTCTTAAAAGTTGTCGCGACCATCCGAGGCGGAACCGATCCGACGGCGCGGCAGATTGTTTGACTTCAAAGGGAATTCGCCGTAATACGTTTATTACCGCAAATGAAATTTAACATCATCGTGACCTCTTTATAACATTCCTTAGAAATGATAGTAGAATTCTTTGAAGTGAAAGCATGCAGAAAAATAAAATATTTTACTGTAGAATTGTAAGAATTTAATAGTGGTAAATATATACTACAAATGAGAAGAAAGTACAAATTAATTTTTTAAAGAGGAAGACGAAATTAATATTACTTTTTATACTTTGTACTTAAGTTTCCGTCTACATATTGGGATGTTCTCAATTCAACCTTCAAGACGTACTATCGAGTGTTCCACTAAATGTCACCGGTATCTTTGATCGAGGACAATCAGTCGACCAGACAAAACATTTTTTACTTTAAGAATTCAATCGTACGTTATTGATTTATTATTTAAACATCAAAATGTTAAATTACAAATTATTTTAAACGACTGAGGCACCTAATTACGAATACAATCAATGTCAGACATAATTCATATCACTAAATCCTACCTGAAATCTTTTTTTCTTCGTTACTGATCATCAATTACTGCCCGGGACTATGTCACAGTGATTCACGCGATGTACATATTAATTATATCAAAACTCATTCAAGTTTCCTCAAGTTCTTCACCAAGTAGCAATCATGCAGCGATAGTGCATGTTTAAGAGCGCGAATCTATCGCGGCCACGAGCTCGTCGCGAAACGACGACGTGACTTTTTGAACGGCCGTGCTACGAAAGTCGCTCAATAATCACGGAGAACGGTTGTGTTTTCATTTCCATCCATTTTTCTCCATGTCATTGCTTCCCATGGTGCGTTGACATTTGCGACGCGCACGAAAACTGCTTCTGTAACTCGTATGGCATCGAACGACCGCGAGGCACCCACGCAATCCGCACGACTGTTTGAAAACTAGGCTGTCCGTTGAGTGTATGGCTCGCAAGCTCCCCCATGCCTAGCTTGCGCCCTGAACTGAATTTATAGGGGCTGGCTGTAGCAATAATATCCTACCTATGCTGCTCGCAGCTGATAGAGTCGCTTCGGGCGAGGGTACGTTCCGAGCACGTCTCGAAACTGCCTACGACTGTTTCACTCACCGCATACGACTTCTCGTGGAAAAGCTGATTAATTAGAAACGGACAGGTCAACGCTGACCTATGCTTTTTCCACGCGAACTTTTATTTACGTGAATTGATACACATCAGAACTCAAATACCTACTTTATAAATACAAATGATTATTACTGTATACA